AGAGAGAGAGAGAGAGAGAGAGAGAGACAGAGAATATCTTTTTGCGTATGTGTAGTGTACGCGTGTGTTTGTGTGACGTTTCACTTTTGCATTGGCATTTTACCTATTTATTATGCTTTCGTTCTGTAATTTATTCCTGCTGTTCACAAGATGTTACATAAATTGTACATGTCTGTTTTGCCTTATCCTGTTTACCATGACAAACTCATATACGTTAAAGATCTATTTGTCGCCTCCTCCCAGACACAGAGGTGTATTGAATGAAACGTAAAAAACTAACCCCTAAACCAAACCATTCGTTGTGTCATGGATCTGTTCAAGAAAATAATTCAATTGTTCTCCTTAACTTGTTTCGGGAAGCACTCTGTTCTTCATTGAACACAAAATACTGTATTACTATTCAGATCTATCATTGTTTCTGATGCCGTATCGGGGAAATTATGAATGATTAAACTCCCCTGTTTCAAATGACTCAATGTTGTTGCCATTTTGACCCCCCCCCCCCCTTCTTCTGGTCGCTGTTTGCGTGTTACAGTTCCTTTGTGTATTGCAAAAGTGTTTTTGTTATCTCAGTGTAATTTTGTGTACAGAATGATGCTTATTGATGGCGTTTGTTGGGACGTCTGTTATAAGGGAAAATGTTGGTTGGGTCAGAGCGGTAAATATCGCAGTGTATGATGATACTGTTGGTGTAACAAAAAATAGACAAGATAGACAGACAGTCAGATTATAGAGAGTTAAACAGATCAAATAGATTGACGAATTCGTGCGTTCTGAGAAACCCCACGTACACACTGAGGAATTGGACACGCATACAAAAGCTAACTCATTTGCATAAGTGTACGCTTTTTTAGAATGTGTACGATGACAATCCATTTTCATTGTCTCGTGGAGGGTAGTGTGTGTTTGTGTGTGTGTGTGGGGAGGGGAGTTGTTGAGATGTTTATTTCATACTTATTAGAGAAGGATCCATCCCAATAATATTGACACTTTGCACAGTGACAGTATACTCAGAAGCAGAAATTAGACATTTACTTTTAGGTATATCCCCTATTTCTTCCCTCTTTTTTTCTTTTATCTTTTAAAAGAACAATTCTGACCAACTACCGTGTCAAAGATTTCACTTATCAACCTGGCCCTAGCCCCTTGAAAAAACTCTAACCTCATACAAAAAGAACATATCATCAGTCTTTGACTCTAACCTTATACACAAACGACATATATTCAAACAGTCTGGCTTCAGCATTAACAAACCCAAAATCTACAGTTTCAACTGGTTAATATCTTTATCGATATTTGATTGTCAGAACGAACAAAGAAGCAGAGGCTTGCGTGAGATCTAGATACAGACGAGATACAAACAAGTAATGTATTGTGAAAGCTCAGTCAGCCTTGTAATCAAAATCAGACCGAAATGTGAGGTATCAAGGTGAAATCATGTGCTCGTCAAAATAATGAAATCGAAGAAAACGGAATTTTCCCGCTCGTCTGGCAATTCTCTATTCTCTATTCACTTTTTCCTTTTTGGGCTCAATACATTTTATGTCCATTTAAAAACACATTTCTATTTGGATTTTAAGGAAAAAACGTAGTTTAAAATCACTCAAAATTAAATGCTAATTTTCTATTTCTTAGGACTCTCAGTTAAGCAATGGAAGTCGCCAAAGTTCGGCGGCAATTTTTCTCTTTAGTTTTTCCAAAAAAAACTAGACGATCCCCAACTCCTTCAATCCCAAATATCTCGACAACTACGTAAAATAAGTGGGTATTTCTTTTTCTAATAGGAAGACAAATGAACAAAGTTTAGAATGATATCAATAACTCCATATTATGCCTAAAAATTGACGAGCGCCTAATTACACGGTGTCGTTACACAAATCTTTCTGAGCACAACGTCAAAGTGAAGAGAATCAGCCAACATTTCTTTTTTTTTTTTTAATGAGAAGCTTTGGGTTTTTTTTCGATTCACGGCTACTGTTTCCGTTTGGTGTAATATGTGTTTTGACGCTCCCATCGACACAATTTAAATTTTAAATCATCTAGGAGTCGGGCTAACGACCCTACCTGTAAGGGCCAACACGGTCGGAGCGGGATACAACACCCCAGCAGAAAGACCGAGATACCAATAAAAAAATTCTCCCCTCTAGGAAATCAAGACCTGAATCTTCTTTGTGCGACAGCGAACCACCTGACCACTTCACCACGGACGCTGATTGTTTTACGCTGACCTCAACACACTTTATCTAATTTTGAGGAAGTTGGTAAACGGTTTTTTTTATTAGGCTTCTTAGACACACTTTAGACAATAATATTTAGGAAGTTGGTAAACGTTTTTATTACGCTGTCTCAATTCACTTTAGATGAAAATTTATCCTCGACGCTTCCTGTTTACACAGAACCGTGCCATACAAGTTTTCCCCTTTAAAAAATCCTCCCCCTCCGTCTCCCTCCCCCTCCTCCCGGAGTCTAAGCACTAAACACACTTCGTCTTGTCCAAGCCGTATCAGCCACGCCCCCATTCACTCCTGGAAAGATTTTTCCCCGGATCTTTCGCCTTGATATGATTATCACGGACACCTTACCTGTCTGTTTTGCAGCAGTAAGGCAAGGCGCGCACAGGGCAACTTTAGTTGTGCAACTGTTTCCTCGCCCAAAATGTAAACAATGAAATAGATAAGCACCGCACGTACAGGCAACTTGGGTTTTTGGAGACTGAAAAGTTTGTGTTTAGTCACAACTTTCTACATGTAGCAACGCATCTGTTGCTCAAATCTCCTGTGTTACACACCAAACGGACACACAGCTCGCAAAGGCAACCAAACTGTCTTTCTTCTTCTGAAATGCTGCTCCGATACGTATTTGAGGGTCCCACGAGACGTAAAATTTCATTAAAACTGTCAGAGCTCACACGATAATAGTTAAAAAACTTGGGAGGGTATACTCTCAAATCTTCATGCAGTTTGATAAAATGCCCTTTTAAAAACCTCTAACTGGTCCAAAGGGTGAACCCAAAACCACCTTTTCATTTTCTTCTTTCTAAGTCTTAGCGCAATCACAAGAGCACAGACAACAACTGCGTTGTGGAAGTTCATGGTGTCAAATGAGGGAGTCAGTAATAGTAATGATGACAGCCTACTGTTGGCTGGCTGTTGCTTAGCTACTTGCACGTGGTGCAGGAAATAAGTTGCCGGAGACAACAACTGTTGCACAACTAAAATTGCCCTGTGCAGTGTCCAGCAGTGGTGCTCCGCTATCGCCCACAGACGACCCGAGTTTGATTCAAGTGCTGGGAGAATTTTTGTCAAGTATCTCGGTCCTTCTGTAAGGCTGTTATATCTCCCTTAACCCTTGACAGGCAGGGTCCAAGCCCGCCTCTTAAATAATCTAAGTTATGTCGATAGGGGTGAAAAAAGCACCTATGTTAAAGTTAAAGAACATGTAGCACGACGACCATCTTAATTTGGTCCACGTCTTCAAAGCAGGTCTCTTTGTTGACCCCCTTTGAGCTTCGGAATGAGTTGGAAATCCTAAACTGCCCCCCCCTTCCAATAATAAAAAAGAAAATTAAAACAATTAAAAAAACCTTACAAAACAAAAACAAACACACACACATACATATACACACACTCACACACACATACATACACATACATACACACGCGCACACACACACATGCACGGAGTGAGGTCGAATGAGTAAGGATGTTGCTCCAGCATCATGTTCTTTACGACCAGAAACTGTCGGTTGTTTAAAAGTAACCTAGTTTGTATAGGTGATAATCTACAGTGACAAACTACTGCCATAGAAAACAGGAACATTGAAAAAGTGACGGAAAAATAAATATTTAGGGCAAACAACCAGGATTGAAGAAGATAAATAACAAGGGTACCCCCCCATCCCCACCCCCAACCCCCCCCCCCAAAAAAAAAACAACAACACACGAACCAAGCAAATAAAAACAACCCCTTCCCCCCCCCCCCCCCCACAAAAAACAACAACGAAAAAAAAAAAAAATAAACCCAATAAAAGACAAGAACAAAACACAACAACGACAACAACAAAGCAAAGCAAAACAAAACAAAACAAAAAGAGAGTTACCTCCTGACGCCCCCTGTCTCATTCATCCACTCAGAGGTGCCCTTGTTTATCTATTAATCTATCCACACATCGGCCCTACCCTTCCAAACTACGAGTACAATTAATCCTTTAGCTATCTTCCTGAAATCAACATTTAACATCGACCGGCAAAGTGAATTGATGAACAATATCAGGAGGTTGGCTATCTATGATGAGTTCCAGCTCACTCCCCATGTCAAAAACTTGCGTGTAAGCAGCCATAAAATCCCTGTAAGGGATATAACTCATCGAAAGCAGTAACTTGCTTTGTTTAAGTGATGGTCTCCTTGAAGGCATTAGAAGCGAATGCTATCAAGTCTGCTGGAGTAATAATATAGATTTTAAGGCTATACAAATACTATTCATCATTATTACTATTATTGTTAGTTGAGATGACTATTTCTCTCTTTTTCAAAGTCAGCTTTATGACTGTTTTTCCCTTTCTTTAGTTAACAGCCGGCTAAGGCTAGTTTCAATAAAATGAACCCAATCCTGAAAAATAGAAACATCTCGATGACTACCAAAATGACAGTTCTGAAATGCTGTGTATGGTCAGCCCTTCTATATGGCTGTGAATGCTGGACAATCACTAAAGACAGGGAAAA